GACAAAATCAGGAATAAAGGGGTACTCATTCATCCCTTAGATCACTGATTTTTTTCAACCAGTGTGCCACAGCATATTGGTGTGCCTCGAGAAGATCTTAGATGTGCTGCTAAAATTTTAAAGATTAATTAAATTATTTTCAAAAGAAGTTCAAAGCATAGCAAGTATATTCTTTTTTTAACTCTTTTTTTGATCAACGTAATTTAAGAAGTTTAGCTATAGAAGTTTAACCATAGGTTCAAGTGTGTTATGAGATAAAAAAGGTAGATGTTTATGGGCCCTTTCCCTGAGTAAGGGCTTGGGACAGACACTTCTGAGATCGTTTGTAGAGCAGGTTCCTCAGAGCTGGGTGCATTAGGATCCCCCTGCTTTAGAATCATATGGGGGTTGTCTACAACTATACCAACCTGAATGAAGCTGATCTTGACTGATCTTGGAAGCTAAGCAGGGTTGGGCCTGGTCAATATGTGGATGAAAGAATTAGTTGGGGGTTTACTAACAGTGCAGAATCCTGGGGCCTACCACAGACCTCCACAGTTAGAACTGCTGGTGGGAGTGGGGGATGAACTCTAGGAATCTTCATTTTAAATACTTTCCTCAAGCAATTCTATAGCAAATAGAAGTTTGACACGTGTTTCCCTGAGAGGCTGAAAAGAAAACTAGGAGTGCTGTAGTTTTGGGGTCCTGAACGTTAAGGACCCCAAGGCTATAGCGTTTGCCAGCCAGGAGTCCATGGCTCTTCGTGAAAGGAGACCCATGCGTGCTATGTAGAGGTTTGGGTTTGAGTCCTGGCTTGGCCTCTCCGTGGTCCTGGGCTAGTGACACATGCCAAGTAGAGTTAATTAGGTCTACCTCTCAGAATCACTATGAAGACCTAGTGGGCATGGAGTAGCTCTGAAAGAATAGCCTGGGGTTTGTGGGAAGCAGCTCATTCCCTGTGTTATGTTCCTAGGCAATGCCACCAGTGGGCTCCCAGAAACCCGAGCTAGTGCAGACCCACTTCTCTGAGTTGGGAGCCAAAAGCTGGATTGGGGTGGCTGGTTAGAGTTTAGGATCATGACTCTGGACTCTGATGGGATGGCATAGGATACCCTAAAAGGATCAAGGGTCAGGCTGTGGCTCACAAGATCCTGACTGAGGAGGGCAGTATTACCCTGGCAGGGTAGCCTCATTAAAAGCATAGGTTCTGGAGCCAGAGGGTTCAAATCCTGTCTAGAGCATTCACTAGCTGAGTGACCTAGGGCCTTTTACTTCACCTCTCTGTGCCTCAGTTTCCTCATGGGTAAAATAGAGATATAATGACTGTACCCACTTCCTTGGCACAGGGAAAGCACTCAAAACACGCCTGGCACATAGTAAGTACTCAGTAAATATCAGCCATTATTGCTTATCAGTGGCAGGATTTTGAGCATGGGTAGTCTTTTAATAGTCTTGACATTGTTAGTGATTACCTGCGTCTATGCAGAGACATGTGTCTCCCATGTCCAAGTGTAGCCCTGGCTGCCTGCATCTGGAGGTGATGCTGAAAATGGGGCCAGGTGCCTAAGTCCTCACGCTGGCATTTATCCCCTTGGTAAATCTCCTTGGGAATAAGGATAAGGTTGAGAACAACAGCAGCTGGATTAGGGGAGCATCTCTATTAGTTTCTTGTAAGCCAGGGTTTAAGAGAAAGCATACTTGTGTATGGACAGGGAAGGAATTTGACATCTGGGCCTTCCTTTCATTTCCTTCAGGCTCAACTTCCATGTGGATTGGGAGCAGGGCTTGAGTGAGAGACAAAGGGGGAGGCATTCTGTGAATCACTGGATCTTTGCATGCCGGGAAATTGGGAAGGAATAGGATTCTCTGCCAACTCTGTTCTTCCACATGAATCCGCCAAAAGGCAAGCGACAGTCTCAAATCCTCTAGCCAAGGATCAGACTGGGATGGAGCCCTGCTTTAGTCACTCTTCCTGCTCCTCTCCTCTCCTCCTGCCCAATTTCCCTTTAGATAGGGGCAGGCGAGACTCAGGAGGATACCTGGTGTCCCAGTCCCAAGTTCTCTAAGGGATTGATCGGATGTTAGAAAAAGACCCCCTCCCCTTTCCTCTGGGCAAACCAGCCATCCCCAAAAGGCTCTTCCCCTCCTACTAGACTGCTGGGGGCATGTCCTTACCCATCCTTGGTTTGCAAGATGCAGCTCTGTCTTAAATGTCACTAAGAGGGCCCCACCAGCCAGGAACAAGGACTGTACCCGTGTTGGGCAGAACACCAAAGGCACACCTCGGAAACTGCAACACAGAGAAAGAAGACACCGAGGCAAGGTGAGGACTGTGGCCAACTGTGGCCAACTGTGTCTCTCTTAATTCAGTCATCTCATAGAAGATGAAGGAAGCAAAGGGCATGGCCCTTCAGCCCACACTTGCTGGTACTCATTGTGAGCTAGGGCTGGGATGACCATAGCATTGAGGAACTCAGAAGACAAAGTCCACACATATCAGGAATCCAGGCCAGAGGGAAACAACTGGTTACCTGGGCACTAAGGAAGGGGCCATTGCTTCTATCTGGAAGGGGGTGATACTTGAGCTGGACAGTGAAGGCTGGGTCACATTTCTGTGAGACAACAGAGAAGAACTAAGAGGGCATGTTCAGAAACCACTGGTCCTGCGGTGTGGGGGAGGATGGAAATCCATCATGAAGACAGTAAGCTTGATCCAGTGGATGATGCAGCGGAGGGAGGCAGACATTATTTTTTGTTGTTGTTTACTCGTGGTACAAAAGTATTTAATAAGTAACATGTCAGTACAGAA